CATTCTGGTCTGATTATAAAAAGCCCTAGGCGAAGAACAGGAAAACCAAGATTTGTTTCTCTGCCCTATAACTAGCGTTCTGGACAAATCAAGATCATCACCCCTATTTTAAGGATGGGAACATGCTCACAGGCTACCTTCTTGACAAGAAGGCTGATGGAAAAAACGTGTTTCTCATAAGTTTTAATTTCCTGGAGTGGTGGAGAGACACTATAAATAAATTTAGTTTACCACAATTATAAGCCTTCCTTACCAAAAGTACTTCAGATTCCTGCTTGTCTTAGCCTCATCCACATTTATGTTTACAGTGAGCTACAACTAGCAATAAGTAAAAATTAAGTCATAATCCTATCTACTGATACAGTTTCCTCAAGATGTCCAACACAAGAATTACCCGGGGGTGATTACTAAAAGCAGATTTTTCAGACCCCATGCCACATCTACTTACAGAATCCTACAGTGAGCTACGACTAGCAATAAGTAAAAATTAAGTCATAATCCTATCTACTGATACAGTTTCCTCAAGATGTCCAACACAAGAATTACCCGGGGGTGATTACTAAAAACAGATTTTTCAGACCCCATGCCACATCTACTTACAGAATCCCCAGGGAGAAATTTAGGATTCCGAATTTTTATAAGCACCCTAGGTAATTCTTATGCTCAGGCCAAGTACAGGAAATTCCTATGGTGAGAGCAACTCATTCCAGGACAGAAGAGTAAATCAGAAATTCACTGATTAGGTCCATTAATCACTTCCTTACTCAGCCCACTTCAGCATAAATACATTAACATAACGCTGGCCAGCATTCCTGAGGTCTTACTTTGTGCTGTATTCTGTACAGTATAGACATTATTTCACCTAACGGGAAGAACAACCTTTTGGGATGGATACTAGTTTTACTCTGGTTTGCAGATAGGAAAAACTGAGGCTTCATGTAATTTACAGAGTTCAGACAGTATGTAAGTGGCTGCTGGCTCAAACCAGGATTTGTTGGCAGCAGGCTACCATCTACCACACTGTTCAATCCTAGCATCAAGAAAGGAAAAGCAGAGGCACCTGGATGGCTCAGCAGTTAAGCATCTGCCTTCAGATCAGGATCCCAGGGTCCTAGGATCAACCCTGCCTGCATCAGGCTCCCTGCTTAGTGGAAAGCCTGCTTCTCCCTCTCCCTCTGCTGGTCCCCGCCCCTGACCCCCTACCACCCCCACCACTTATGCTGTCTCCCTCTCTGTTAAATAAATAAATAAAATCTTAAAAAAAAGGGGGGGGGGAGAGGTAAACACATGGCAAGAGTTAAAATGGAAAGCTTAAGTCTTTTGCTGACCAGTCGCTTTCCAATTTCAATTCTTTTCCTTGGTTAAAACTAAAACTGAAGTGTAAAAACTCTTTTCCATAAACAAACATCATTTAGGGCACCTGGGTGGCTAGTGGGTTAAACGTCAGCCTTTGGTTCAGGTCATGATCCCAGCATCCTAGTATAGAGCCCCACATCAAGATCCCTGCTCAGGGACGCCTGGGTGGCTCAGTGGATTAAAGCCTCTGCCTTCAGCTCAGGTCATGGTCCCAGGGTCCCAGGATCCTGGGATCGAGCCTCGCATCGGGCTCTCTGCTTGGCAGGAAGCCTGCTTCCTCCTTTCTCTCTCTGCCTACTTGTGATCTCTATCTGTCAAATAAATAAATAAAATCTTAAAAAAAAAAAAAAAAAAGATCCCTGCTCAGCTAGGGGTCTGCTTTTCTCTCTCCCACCCCCATTTACCCTGCTCATTCTCTCTTTCTCTCTCAAATAAATAAGATCTTAAAAAAAAAAAAAATTTCATTGTCTAATTGCCTGGAATAACAGGCAAGGTACTCTATCTCCAAAGAATACTTACAGCACCCTAAATGGAGTGGAGCTGCACATCCGGTCTGAAATGCTGCTCTTGATTAACCCCTGAATAGTCTGTTCAGCGACTGGGTTCTTATTTTGTTGGGAGAGAGAGTAGAACAACTCAAGATCAACCTTTAGAACAAGTTATCTTAAGGGGCGCTTGGGTGGCTCAGTCAGTTAAACATCTGCCTTCGGCTCAGGTCCTAATCCAAACACATGAGGCTCCCTGCTCAGTGGGGAGCCTGCCTCTCCTTCTCCCTCTGCCGCTCCCCCGACTCATTCTCTCCTCCTCTCCTCCTCTCTCCCCCTGAAATAAATAAAATCTGAAAAATAAAATAAATCTTTTAAAAAATGTATCTTAAACGCAAACTGTAAGAATGACCATCTCATTGATGCTAATAGTTCAAATCTCTAAACTATAAACTGGCAAGCAAGCATGAATTCTGTTAACATTTTGTGGCACTGAAGTATATTCAAAATTTGTGAGATGGGCTCCCACTAAGACAATTAAATCAAGACCAGAGTGTATTAAGTTTTATTACTCATATACCTGCCCTGTCAGATTTAGAAAAAAAGACTTTGAGCCAATATATGGCTTCATAAGAAACTGTGTTGAGGATATGTTGAACAGTGAGGATATTTGAAAATCTACACACAATACATAACCCAATACACACACATGTTCTCTCTATATTATATCCTAGAGAAATTAATCACATACATGTACCAAGAGACATGTACAATAAATGTTAATGGTGGCATCATCTGGAATAGCATCCTAAATGTCTAATAAAGAAAATGAGTAGATCAACTGCAATATAGTCATACAGTGAATACTAAATAGCAGTGAAAAATGAATGAACTAGAGCTACACTTAACAAGAACAAAACACAAGGTATTGAAAAAAGCAGTTACAAATCATTACCTTCAATATAATATCAATTAGTATTAAAACATGCTTGTTTACAGGTACATAACAAATGCAGTAAAAATATAAAAAAACACACAGGAATACCAAACATCAAATACCCAATTCAAGACAGCTTTGGAATGAAGAGGAGAAAAGGGGAACAGAGTTGAAGCCATGGGTGTTTTCCTTACATATTTTGTAATGTTTCATTTCTTAAGAATGGTGGTTCTTAAGAAGGTAACTGAGTAATATATTCTTTAAAAATTTGTGTGACTGAAATTAAAAAAAAAAATCAAAAATAGAATTAAGTACACAAAGGCTAGTGGTGTTTTGAACAATCAAGCTAACAATTACTTGAGTCTTAAAATGTGATACTACCCCCAACACTGGTAACTTTAAGGATACTTTAAAACCCCATAACTCTGCACTATTAGGTTGAATTATCTGAAACTGCTGGGTTTGTTATAGGTCAAAAAGTCAAATATTAACAATTTCATATGGCTCAAACTAATATTAAAATTCTTCATATGAAAAACAAAACAAAAAGTAATCATTCATGTTTACCCCCAAGACTTTACTACACAGTGATCTACATTTAACAGCAAGACTAAAAAACAGGGAAATAAAAGTGAAGTAGAATGCATCACTAGTCAACAGGAAGAAAATGAAGATAACCTACCCAGTGTATAGAACAAATCGTGTAACTTAGAAATACACATTGCACAAAATGTGGTCAAACTACTCTCCTTTGATATAAAATATTACTGCCTAATTTTTAAAAGTACTTATACATATTAATAAATCCTTAAAAGATCCCTGTTGGGGGGGTGCCTGGGTGGCTCAGTGGGTTAAAGCCTCTGTCTTCTGCTCAGGTCATGATCCCAGGGTCCTGGGATCAAGCCCCGATTAAGGGCTCTCTGCTCTGCAGAGAGCCTGCTTCCTCCCCTCTCTCTGCCTGCCTCTCTGCCTACTTGTGATCTCTGCCAAATAAATAAATAAAATCTTAAAAAAAAAAAAAAAAAGATCCTTGTTGGGCAAAGCAAGTACTTATACATATAAAAATTGAAGTCCAGAGGAGAAACACCTTGACCAAGGTCAAATAGGCAGTTAGCAGTTAAAACATATTTAAAAAACTAAAGTCAGGTCCTGCTCCAAAATTAACTACAATCAATTAAGCAGAAACTCAACAAGTAAGAGTCTTTTATTTTGTTCCAATCAAACATTATGGAAGAATTAAGGGCAATGATCTGTGGAGCTCTGTCTCCTTTTCTATTTCTTAGCAATTTCAATGTAAAAAGTTCTAAACCCATTATTATTTTTACAAAACCTATAAACATAGTATTTTAGGTAGTGATTAAATTATAAGAGTAGCTCATAAAGCCAATGCAATTTATAATTTAACTAGGAAACTATAACCCTTCTGTAATACTAATGTAAAAAAATACACACTAAAAGTAGTCTCTCAATCCCCTCCCCCTCTCTTCTCAAACTTAAGTACTAGGACTTTAAGAAAAAGGTTTAAGTGAGAAAGAATGCTGAAAAAGTGTTGAGGAACACAATTATGGAGATTTGGAGGCAGTGGGCAATGTTTTCAAAAGAAATACTTTTTTTTTTTTAGTGAGTAAGTATCACTCTTCAGAATCATCACAGAGCCCAGATAAATTATGCAAGACAGGGAGGGAGATTTTCCTGAGATACCAGAAGCAGAAACTGAAAGAAAAGGGTTGGAAGAGATGAACTTGAGAGCTACCGTATAGGAAGTGACAGAGACGGGAACACCCAGAGCAGAAAAAACAGTACAGCCCTGCGCAGAAGCCCCTAGGGGCCAGATTAATCAGCTCCCTCCCCAAACTGCAAGGTAAGGTCAGGTACAGAATAAGTGAAGGAAGCCTCTGGAGAAGAGGGGTGGGGCGGAGTATTAAGGCCTTCTGGGTGGTTTTTAACATATGTGAAGCATTTTTATCCCAAGAAATAGGTCTACTGCAATCTACCAATGCCTACCATTATTTCTCATTTTTGCTTCCTTCACATTAGGTAAGATGAATGACATGCCACCCACATCTCCTTTTCAGTTATAAATGGCACCCTGGACAGTCACAGTCATCTAATGCCAGATGTCTAGTTGGCCTGCTCTCAGCGGCAGGGTCTCTACAAGGAAAACAGCTGCTGGGACACATGCACAGTACACCATTAGAGAGGGGGAGGGGAGGGAGACCAACCTGCCTCCGCATTCAGCTCCTCTAGAAGCCCGCTGGTCCTCCAGGTAGCTCCTGTGTCCTGGCCTCCTACAGAATTACTGTGCTCTTGAACTACTGCAGCCGCCAATAAATTGTCCACATTTACCACTTCTGGGTCAGAGTTGGTGTCAGACATATCATAATGAGCTACAACTGGAGGTCCATCTAGGGAGGAAAGAAAATGTATACTTGTATCTAACTTCCGGGGTGAAAAATACTTCTGCAACTAAGATGCAGTTGCCTTTATCTACTTATTCTATCTGGTCAGAAAAGCTGCACTTCATATATCTAGTATTTTGTACATGAGGTGAAAGTGGAAGAGATAACCCAAGCTTATAAAGATGAGGGACATGTTTGAAAAGGAGAAAAGGAGTGTTATGAAGAAAGGAGGACAACAGCATACTGAAAAATACATTGAGTTCTTGTCTTAATTCTAAAGAGCAAAAGATTATGAAAAAGGGGAAGACTTCACAGAGTAAAACTGATTTTTTTAAAGGAAAAAAAAAACTGATGCAAACTATTTAAACTCAATTTATAGTTTTTAAGAGAATGAATCTAGTTCTTTCTCTTAATAGCTGATAGTTAAAAGTCACTAATAGATTCAGATTCAGAGAAGAAAATCAAATACGTATTTTCCTATTCTAGAGAAATAAGGCTAACAAGAAGAGCTCTACTTGACTATGTCCAGTAAAGCCCTTTACAAATATCAGGGATGTTACACATTTTACAACATTCCACAAAAAAGACAATACTCACAAAATCCACATTCAGGATTTTGCTTTGGATGTCTTGTTAGAGATATTTAAATTTTCTTTTCCCTGAGAAAGACAACCAGCTCACACTCCAAGCAATGATATTCAACCTTATGGGTTATTTTAGAGATGATATGAAAGTTCTTACTGGCTAATAAGAGATCCCTTCTACCTCCAAATCACCCTAACAAGCTGAAAAAGGCAGCAGAGTTCCAGAGTAATTAAACTGCAGTGATTCATGCTAAAATAACTCAATATTCATGCTTGTAGAAGATACATGCTTTAAAATGCTAATGCTACCCTTTTTCTAATGCAACCCCAAAAAAGCAAAAATACAAATTTCATTCAATTATGAAACACATCCCTTACTCCTATCTCCATTTTAGAAGCAGCATAAATAAAGGAATGCAATTTCTCCCCCAACAGCTATTTATGAAGTGCAGGCAAATTATGTATGTCTATTAAGATTTTTTAAGATCGAGACTATTTAACATTAAGCACACCTATTTTATGAAACATATGCCAATGAATCATTAAAATAGAACACAATGAAGGATTAGTTTTAACACAAACATCCATTGTGTAAATAGTCACTGAACAAAAGATGGAACACATTTGGGGTATTTATCCCTTAAAGCAAAGCTATCAAATCACAGGTTTATGTAGCAACATTCTTAAAATAAAAAATGACCAAATAAAAGCAAATGAGTTGTTAAGAGCCACTGTATAAAGAACAGACATGTCACAATATGAAATTCTGACGATCATGACAATTTCAGTTGACTACTTAAAAATAATTTCCAATTCTCCCAAAAGGGTAAATCAAGTTCATAGAATTCAATAGTGTGGCCTCAGTATCAGTTGGTAATAGATTTTAGCTCAAATAGCAAAAAAACTGGTTGAAGTTTGATATTTTTCTTTTCTAAAAAAGAAAAGAAAGCTCTATCATTTATGGAGTTCTCGTCAGAGTTCAAAATGATTATTATGGAATCAAGATACTGTGGATGTCCAAATATTTGGGTGCAGAAGATATGAGGGTCAAGTACAATATTGACTATTTGACCAAATGTTCTATTTTTAAAAGGGCTTTAGTTAAGTGTTGTTTTTACAAAAAAATTAGTGCTTTATTTTAAAATTTGAACACTACTACCTTTCACAACCTCCTGCTCACACATTCCCCCCTCCCACAACCACCAAATTGAGGCATGAGGTCAACAGTCAAGTCAAAATTGTACCACTCCTACATGTAGAATCATGCAAAGAGTATAGTTGTATATGTACATGCAGAGTTAACATCACCTACCCAATGCAATAACTTGTCTGAAAGTCTTCATCAGTAGGAAATACAAGCATAAACTTGTTATCTGGCTTCATTCTTGCATCTTCCGTATTTCCAAACAGCACACCTTATAGCTTAGTTTAAATTTAGCATTCATCATAAACAAAGACAGTAATATTTTCATATTTTAATTACACTTAAAAGTTAAAATAAATTATCAGTGTCGTTTCTCATTTCCAGTGTATCCAAAATGATGACAATACTATACAAACTTTAAGAAAGGAATGGTTGCCTTTTTATCCTTCTTCCAACACCAAACCACAATTAAGAATCTTGTGTTCCAAGGTCATCTTACACTTATCATTAGCAAATCAAGATTAAATAAGGCATGTTAAAGCACTTAGCACCAGGGCTTGGACTTGAACCCTTAAGTATTAGCTAACTGACAGTGATAATTTGTGATACTCTTTTAAAAGTGATTCTTGCTACAGAGCAGAATTAAGAGACAGGTAAGATCCTATAGTAATTTTATCTACCTTTTAAAAGAAAGGCAGGAAAAAGCCACTGAAGAGGAGCTAGGAAAATTCAGAATATTAAAAACAGAAGCAACAACTATGCTTCTAATTTGACTCTAACAATTCACTACAGGATGGAATAAAGGAGGAGATACTGTCCTCCTTCCCACTTGATTATTCTTATATGTTGGTAAAACAAATGCACTGCTACTAAGATTATTTTCCCTTTCAAAAATATCAAAACAGTCCCTACAAGTAGTTACACAGGGAAATAGTTCCAATTTAAAATTCAATCATTAATATAAGCACATTCCATGTTAACAATATTTAAGGATTAGCCAAACTGCACAATCTCCCATCTGCTACCTTGAAGTTTGTCACAATCTTAAAACATAAATTTATAATAAGAACTTATTAGCTTTTCTATAATCATTAAAAGCATATCTCACAAAAAGGTAAATTTAATACAATTAACTAATAACTATTTGGTCTGTGGTTAAAGTGCTGTTTCTCCCAACTGAAATATTTTGAAATTTTTGCTGGTCATTACAGTTATAAGGCAAGAAAAAATAATGTTAAGCAATCCACTGCCTTTTTAAGAATATCGATTTATCCGTTTTATGCTGGAAATAGGTTTGTACCCTCTCACTGACCTCCTAGCTGTAAACACCATTCTAACTTTTCAAATAACAAAATACAGATGTGTCTGTGTCATCACACATTCCTGATACAGTGAAGTTTACACTTTTATGGATCTTAAACCTTCATACTGTTGCCATCGGGTGTTTAATTTCATGAATTGTTCTCTCAAATATGTTCTTTTTTAAAAATACGTTCTTTTAAACCTCACTGAAAGAATCTGAATCAAAAATAAAAAGAGGCAGAGTGCCTGGGTAGCTCAGTGAGTTAAACCTCTGCCTTTGGCTCAGGTCACGGTCTTAGAGTCCTGAGATCGAGCCCTACATCAGGCTCTCTGCTCAGCAGGAAGCCTGCTTCCCCCTCTCTCTCTGCCTGCCTCTCTGCCTACTTGTGCGCTCTCTGTTAAATAAATAAAATTAATCTTTTTTAAAAAATTAAATAAGTAAATAAATAGAGGCAAAGCAAACCCAACATCCTTTACTATATCCCCGACAAACCCCTTTTCAAATTTGACAACCAAAAGCACAGAATTTTAAAATTATGTAAGGTAATACACAATTTACCATTCTTATTTTACAGATGAGAGACTTAAGTCCTACTTAGATGGGACCAGAATCAATTATATTATAGTTGTTCATTGTTGAGGGAACTGGGAATATACAGAAGACTGACAATGGCACAGGAAACACATAGATCTTTAGAAGCAAATATATAGGTTAAAAGTCCTGCCTATTACTACTAAGCTCTAAGACTCAGTTTCTTCACACGGTTATGGTAAGAGTTAAAGATGACATAACAGCGTAATACTGGTCCATTGCCCCATCTTTCCATTATAATTAGCACCTGCCCTACTTTATTATTTGTTTGCTTATCTTTACATGCAAATTCTGCCCTACAGAGCCTGCAAACAAGCAGCTTTGAGAAAACATCACTGCCTAGATTGGTGCCTCGTTCTGGTCACAAGATTAACCCAATCTAATGCAAGCTGGTACAGCCACTATGGAAAACAGCATGGAGGTTCCTCAAAAAGTTGAAAATAGAGCTACCCTATGACCCAGCAATCACACTACTGGGTATTTACCCTAAAGATACAAATGTAGTGATCCAAAGGGGGATGTGCACCCGAATGTTTATAGCAGCAATGTCCACAATAGCCAAACTATGGAAAGAACCTAGATGTCCATCAACAGATGAATGGATAAAGAAGACTTGTATATATATACAATAAAATTACTATGCAGCCATCAAGAGGAATGAAATCTTGCCATTTGCAATGACATGGATGGAACTAGAGGGTTTTATGCTAAGCGAAGTAAGTCAATCAGAGAAAGACAATTATCATATGCTTTCTCTGATATGAGGGGGTTGTAGGGGGTAGGAAGGGAAAAAAATGAAACAAGATGGGATCGGGAGAGAGACAAACCATAAGGGACTCAATCTCACAGAACAAACTGACGGTTGCTGGCGGGTAGAGAGACAGGGTAGGGTTGCTGGGTTACGGACATTGGAGAGAGTATATGCTATGGTGAGTGCTGTGAAATGTGTAAGCCTGATGATTCACAGACATGTACCCCTGGGGCAAATAATATTTTATATGTTTAAAAGAAAAATTAACCCAACCTGTGAAGTAAATGCTTTGCTAGGATTACTGAGATCACAAATGGAGCTTTTGTACGTTTATATTTGTCTGAAGTGTCACGTCAGCTTGGGTGTATTCATATGAAAGTGTTTCAAAACCAAACAGTTCATTTTTGGATTACTTCATATTTTGCACCATCCTTGCCTACAGAGCCCTCTCACTAACACAAGTGTTGTCAGTCTCCCAGTATGAGGTCTGATTAGATCTAGGAGACAGGAATTCCTCTTGTATCCCAGACATCCTAGAATGCCAATTCTCCTTCTCTACAGGTTAAGTGTTAGGCCCAAGGAAAGGTGGGGCAATGGCCCAACAGATGTTTTGCCCCTTCAACTCCCATTTCT